AAAATTTATTTCATAAAACTTCTCTCCAAGAAGTTGTTCAAAGTAATATCTAATTTGTTCGTAACATATCACTCTCTAACATTTTCACTGTTCCTATTAATTTATTCAACAAATATTAAACTACAGTCTATATTGTATGCAGTTTCACATATCAGTGATACACATGTAAACAAAATAAAGTCCTGCTTTTGTGAAACTTACATTCTAATGGGAGAAGTAAACAAAAGTAAATATATAATTGAATAGGTAGTTTTAAGAGTAGTGGTTTCAAATCATGTTTCATGGAAGTCATATTCAGGAAAGGTCGTCCATGTATTTCACAATTACCTCAAAAACATGATATTCAAATACACACATATTGAACTTAAAACACGTTATCGTAAACTGATGCATCAATTTTTTTCTGTGTTCTTGAACCTCTTTTAGATACATGATTATGAAGGCCACAGCTTTACCCTTTTGTTTTATAAAATCTACTATAATATCGATGGATATTATACAACAAAAATCAAATATAAAAACAAATTTTTCTTGGCTGGCTGTACAGCTTATTATTATAATTTATAAAACCAATACTGGGCAGGTGATTTAGCTCAGTGGTTCCTCCACCTGCCTCACAAGCGCAAGTTCAATCCCCGGTACCAAAAACAAAAACAAAAAAGAAACCAATACTATATGCCAATGAAGTACAATATTTATTTTAATAGGTGCTATTTACTGGGGTTTCAAATAAGACTTCTGTAGAGCATCACTGCACTAAAGAAACCAATACAGAATTTTTAGCAGAGAAGTGACATGGTTAACACTGTATCTCTGAAGTAATATTATAACAAAATAAAGTGTAATAAGGTAAAACAAAAAATTAGTTAGAAAGTGAAGACCACACTAGAAAATATGGTGGAATGAACAAGTACCAGTGATAGAAAAAGGGGCATAAATTTCTGAAACACTAAAAAACTAAAATAGAAGCTGATGATTCATTAGACAGTAGAGAGGGCAATGGTATTCAAAAGAGCAGAGTCTAGATATACAGTACTTTAATTTCAGCCATGTTGAAAGGTTTAAGTACCTAGACTCTTTAATACTCAGAACAGAATGGTTTTTGCACATGTGGTCATTGTGTCTAAATGAATTCCCTTTTGCAATAACAGTTCTCATTTTGGAATTTCCCTAACCCATTTTAATATTTTATTACAGACCAAATAACCTATTATGTAGTCATATAGCCACTTTTTTAAATTAACTAAATTCTTTTTCAAAGATGCCACAGTATTTTCTCTATTTAGTTAAGACTTCAGTAATATTAGCACTTTATTCTTGTAATTTATTTTAAAGTTATTACCCATTATTAATACTATATACTACTATACGATAATGGTTATATGTATTCTACTACAAGTAAGGTGATTTTTAAAAACCTTTTTGCAATAACATATTTTATTTTATTTTTTGGCTCCAGGGATCAAATTTAGGATATTGTGCTTTCAAGGCAGGTGGCAGAACCACCGAGCTCAATCCCCAGCCTGAAAATAATGTTAATATATGTTTTAATCACCCCTTCCTATTTATGTACTGCCTTCACCATTTGTCTTCTCTGATCTTCCAAAAATCCTCTCTCTTTCAGATAAGGAAAACAAATATTTATCCCCATACTACTGGTCCAAAAATCAAGGAAGAAAGAATCAAATCTCGAGGAAGAAAGTAGATAAATGTTTTGTCCAAGCTATTTTGGCTGGCAAATAGCAAAGCTTTAAATAAAACAGAAAGTTTCTTATTCCTAGATTAGTGCTCTTCCTACAATGTCATGTTATCAAAGTAGTATACATTTAACTCCTGAAAGGTCCCATGACCATCTTTTTTGAATAAATAGCTAGATAGCTATATATTTGCTTTTCTTCTTTAGTAGCCCTGTTCCCTGAAACTTTTTATTTAGAAGCTTTCATTACCAGCATAATAGCCTCAACCACCTAATACCAGTCTGCTTCAGAAGTTTATCCTTCCTATACCAAATCTAGTAAAAATTTATATCTAGTAAAATTCTTCTGCATCACTATGATATCCATAAATAGAGGGAAAATAGAAATGAAATTTTTCAAAATTCAAGAAAAAAAATAACAATACATCAAAGATTATAGAATGAGTATAATTCCTTACCTAATAGTTCAAATTTGGTCGCCAAGACTCTTCTGTATTTGTCTCATAACCATTACTAAATTCTTCCCTAATCTCATGAAAATCTATTACTTCATATTGAGGGGAAAATTACTATTATGTACAAATTTCACAAGATAGGTTAAATCTATTTAATTCTAAATAAACTTGGCTTTTAAGTAAATTAATATTATATGCTTAATGTTTTTCTTATGATCCTGCTAGGTATATAGGCTGAGACAATGATTAAAACTTATCTCATTTTACATCATTTATGTACTGCCCAAAATTTTAATAATTTTAATAATTTCAAATAACCTTTTTGAAATATCAAAATATTTGGCACTTAATTTCTGTGATTTCAAAAGTTTACTATTTTTCTTAGTTATTCAAACACATTTATAAAACTATATTCATCTGTATAAACTACTACATTTCCCCCAAAGGCACATTTGGGGGAAACTCAAAAAAGGACAATAAAGATAACCATATCATAAAGTGATACTATATATATTAACTACTTTTTTGCAAATTTTCATGTTCTCTTCCTGTCAGAAATTCCTTTCTTGGTTTATTAAAATTTTAACAATCGAAGTATAATTACCTAAAATGTTTTCTTAGTAAACTACAACACTAGTTATTTTCAAGTTCTTACAAGTATTACAAGTTCCACAAGTATTAAGCCCATAGCATATATTTGTTTGGTTTTTTTTCATACTTATGAAGAGCTGAAGAATCTAGGAGTATTTTTATGTCCAATATTTAAGTCAGTGTCACTGAATCCTTTAAAATATTTTGTCATCATGTATCTAATTCTAGCAACATATTAACTGTTCTATTCATTTTATACTAGACAGTGAAACAGAATGAGTTTACTTTTCTGAACGACAACGTAGGAAACCAAATGACTATTTTCTCTTTAGTTTACTGCCTATGAATAAATATTATATCTCATCCACTACTGGGCTTTAACATTATCTTGCAAATTCTACTTTTTGTTTACGCCAATTTCTTCCCTTAAACTACCAGTTATTCAAACTAATGCCAAAGTTGATGCCTAAAGTATCTTTATTAACTCAAACTGACCTACCCACAGGATTCTTTGCACCACTGTGTTTGATGCTGGTGTCTCACCAATTCCCAATCAAAAATTCCTAGTGTGATTGATGTTTTATTTTCTGTTTATACACAGCAGTACAATAAGTCTCAAGCAATTCAAAACTTACCTTGCAAATCTGGAAATACTCTGAAGTTAGGGTTTCCTGAATTTCCTCTCTGAGAACTCCTGCAGGCCCTCCTGGATGCAAGGGACCACTTCCAGCCCCGCCGCTGTTACTGCCACTGCTGCTGCCACTGCCAGGAGAGGAGGCAGTTAAGCCATCCAAAACTTTTCGGAAATTGAACTTCTTCATTTTAAACACTGTTGAAAGATTCAAAAGAAAAGAGAACAGGGCGACTTACTACATAGAATTATACCAGGTAAAAATATTTATCTTTCAATAGTCAAGGCAGGAGTGGCCAGTTCCCATTTTATGAGCATTGACTACAAACTGGGAAAGAAGAGATCCTTTATTTTGTCAAATTTCAATTCTAAAACAACGTATCTTTATAAAATAAATAAATAAAGGCAACTCCAAGAGCAACAGTATTCCCTCCTCCCATACATCAGATTTTCAAGGGCTTTATCCCCAGCTGTAGCTAAGCTTGAAGAGCACTGGGGTAAAAATAAAAGGCAGTGTCATCCTCGTCATTAGCATTATATCATCATTATTATACAATCAAACCAGAATTCAAAAGACCAAGACCCTTTGCGTCTCTCTCAAAGGCGGGATTTCTTTCTAAAGGTTCGGCTCAGAATATTTTATTTTCAGAAAAACGCTGTTGGGGGGATTGCTGGAATTTACTCTGCCACCATCTTCCGTGCTGCCCCTCTCCCCATCATCTTCAACCCTCCCTTTTTTTTCTCAATAGGAAATTCTGGAGGTAGAGATGCCTTTTATTTCATTCCCCATCCCCAACAGTCCAGAGTCCAAAACGTCTGCAGGTGACGGGCACCACAGCCGAGGCGAGGGCCGAACGCGACGCCAGCCGCCTCCTCTCGTCTCGGCCCCTTGTCCCCGGCCCCCTCCCGTCCCGTCCC